AACGGCTCCATAACTTTTCTGAAACTTTCCAAGTTTGTAGAACTCAGCATGATCTACCTCCTTGTGTATCTGTTATATCTGGGAAAAATCTAGTTATTGAGATATTTGGTGTAAAACACGCCAAAATCGGCATTTTGACCATTAGTAGCTGTATAATTCACCCTGGAGAATTAACACTTAAAGCTGACGTACTGAAACTCCAAACATAAGTAGTCCAAGTTATTCTGAAGAAAACGATATATTTGGTTTTTCGATATCTTTCAAAGAACGGCCCTGAGAGGGGTTTGAAAATGGGGTGTATTTCTGGGGTTTCGTGGAATTTTCCAGAAGATCCGATTTCCCCTTAGTCCAGCACCAATTTGGGTACCCCCTCTAGGCTAGAATTGAGATAATAGCTTGTTGCGCTTGCGTTAAATACGAAGAAATGTTCTAGCCGCTTATCCGGTTCAACTTGTAGCGGTGAGTTGGATGGAATTTTGACTAGTGCCAGTAACTTCTACCATTTTACGATATTCTACGTTATGGCTATGATCACAATCATGCATGTAAGATATGACCAAGCGTTTTAAATCTCTAGCAAAATCCCGTAGGCCTCAATATACATGTCTGTTGACGTTGCGGAACAGTTCGCGTTTCTTCAGTATTTCCTTTCGTTATTTTTTGTTTCAACGTTTAATTAAATTAAGATTTCGGTGTGTGAAGCCTGTTCAGTGTTTGTGGTAATCTCTCATTTGTGATAATTTGTTTACGTCTAAAAATAGCCACGGTAATCCCCAGCTTGAGGAGACATCACTACACCAGAGACGTATAATACGTCTCTGACTACACGCACGACTAGCATATTACCTGAGCATTTATTACAATGATTGTAGGGTCAATTACAACGATGACTGTAATGAGGCATTATCAGAAATTGTCACATTTTTTGGAATAGGAAAACTCGAAACAAAGTCCTGTGCTGTTACTGCATTTTTTGTTCATTTACAGTATAAACACATCAAATGAATTTTAATAAACATTTAAAGTGTTATTTCCTAAAAATTGTTGTTTTGGTAGCTTAGGTATAACTAAAAAATACCACAGATATTTACAAAAGTTCCATTCTGTTACCAATACCATTAAAGATTTTAACAAGAAAAGTAAAAAATAAATGGATTAACTTATTCTTGTGATAAAATATCAATTCTAATTAATTTCACATATTATTGTTTCAAAAGCACTGGTCGAACGGCTATGTACAGATTCCGGAATTAGGGATCACCGAAGCGAGAGCTAACTAAATCACGTTGTTGTACACCTCCAGTCGAGGTAAATTGGTTAATTAGTCAAAACTGAATTAATTTTGCAACTTTTCAGCCTGATAAACTGTAATATATATGTATATTCACTTCTTAATCTTACATAATCGATCATTAATTACAAGCGCTGACATCCAAGTCGATCTAATTTCTACAATTCTGATAATAAATCTGATAAATTTTGATTGAATTCAGAGACGATGATGAATAAAGAGTGTATGAGGAGACATGTAATCAAAGCAAATTCCTGTTAAGTTAATGTCTGAAGTTTGAACAACCGTGGCTCTTAATCGACGAGTACAGTATGGTTACATGCTCGAACAAGTTTATATGATAAAATTGACTATGATTACTAGTGATTGTACTGTCGATTTCCTTGTGTAACTATTACATGGTAACAAGTCGCTTCCGATTGTTATTACAGAGGTTTTGCAACCTTACGGGTACATGTGAGCTACAGTACGCGTACAACTATATTCTATGATTACATATAGGACCGTCCACATGTACGTGTGTAGCATATAAGCTGTGGCTTTTCAACTTTCTATCGTAATATGAAAAGGCAAAGCCTAAAAAGAGCGTTGCTTTTGTTGATATCTGATATTTAAAGGGGCTGGTCGGGGAAAAAATGTCATATTTGCTAAACTGGCATACACATGTTTAAAATACCTTCTTATGAAATAAACCGATTCAAATTTTGCTAAAATTTACTCCCTAAGAGTAAAAATTATAATTATATTAAAGAAATCCTAAATCGTCAACTGACAGTCTAAAACTCTCAATTGACCCAGATCAGTGATGTAATTTTTACGCACGCGCGTCATCAACAAGGCCAAATGTAATCATCGCGGCGAAAGAAAAAGATGCATGCAAAAGTCATTGACAGGCACGAGGTATCAATACCTTTATATATAACAACAACATATAGGTAGGAATACTACACTTGCATCATACATGACCTTTGAAAACAATTATTTACGTATAGTATTGCTGTCTTGTCCGCTAGTTGAGTCCGACATGGCACATGACGGCGTGCTGTTGTTGTTATCCTCACTGCCTCAATTTCGAAACAACCATGTGTCATATATAAATAGATCTGCGCTAAATTTACGCAGGGCTTCCCCGAGATTTTAGTGGTCAAAACTGGACATTGCAAGCAGAACTCGACCATCATATTAATGTGGTATAACTTTTGGAAGGCCAGAGAACGCATTTAGACCCATTTAACTGTATTATTTTCCCCGACCAGCCCCGTTTAAAGANATCATTTGAAGCTGTCGGAGTTTCACACGCTTGACCATCAAAAACATAGCAATTCCGTTTACAGAAAGTTAACATAACTAGAAAGATGATGATTTTCTATCTAACATGTCAAAAGTAACATTTTCCTCTAAAGTAATTTTCATTCTAGTTTTCCTCATTATTTTTATATGATGTATTTTTTTTGGACTCATGCTTATTAGATGTGTAACAGTAGAAAGATAAATGCAACGGCCAGACTGGGGTTCGAACCCGGAACCCTCCGAACTCTGAACCGACACTGTAACCAATTGAGCTACCTGGTCGCCGACAATGGACCCAGTCAAGTTCCGCTACTTCCTCCGTCCTTCAAAAAAGTCTTCGACACCGAAGACACACCAAACCCTATAAACCTTCCATGGGTAAAAGAGGAAATGTAACAGCCAGACCTGAACTTAAACCCGGAACCCTCTAAACTCTAGACAGATGCTCAACCAATTGAGCTATATGGTCGCCGACGATCGATCCAGTCCAGTTTCACTGCATTCCTTCTCCCTTCTCAAAGTCCCTGCCCCCGAATAACACAACTATTTACAACCCAGTTTTGGGTATTCCTTTGCTAAGCGTACTCCTACTACATGAAACAAGTGTTGGCAAGATTGCCAATTTTGCGACAGAAGAACAAGAAAAGGTAACGGCCAAACTAGGGTTCGAACAGCATATTTACTGAAAGTCGATCTAAACCCCTAAAAGATATAAAATTACTCTGAACACCTTAGTTTAGGTCTAAATATAGCTGTAACACATTATCAGGTCCTTGTTATGTTCATAACTTTTTTGATATTTTTCTTAACGGGGAATATAAAAGTGGATAAACTCTTTGTACCCTCACGCTGCAGTTTTCATCATTTGGTATAATACTACATTTACATAGGAGACTTATCTCTTCTTGAACTAGAAGAAAATTCTTCGTTTGTGTAACTGTCTTCCTAAGTTCCGGTGGTCTTGCATGCAATGTTTAATTATTTTACTAAACTCTATAAAGCTGTTTTGGCAGTAACTGCACTCGAAATAATCCATCTGTGTGAGAAAAAATCGTTTATTCCACCAACAGGCAAAATGTAATAATGCAATGCAATAAACCATACAGTAATATAAAGCCGTAGATATTATTGAAAGTGAGATATGTAAGGGGATACGAAAAAATGCTACGTTATGACATTCATGACATTAACAAAATTCAGAAGATGTGAATAAGTGAAATGTTTACGTTTACGATGATTTCATGACAGTGAGTATTGTGAAATCCCATTCTCTTAAAGAATAAACGTATCATTTAGTATCCACAATCTCTATGTATACGTGCATTTCTAAGATAAATATAAATACAAAATGTACTCAGGGTTTTGAAAAGTAACAAAATATCCAATATTTAAAATGACTTTTGGTTTTTATCTAGTACAACTAAATAATAAAGTATGCTCAAGGAATTATGAACCCTTTATCTTTGATAAAACCTGATTATATTGAAACAAGGCTAGCCGTTTTTAATTAAAACTATATTGATTAAAGTTCGATTATTAGTTTGTTTAAACAATTGGTGTGTTAAAGGTTATGGTAGATAATGAAGCGTTTAACAATACAAAAGGTGATGAATCAGGTAATAATGATGAGTTTTACTCTGTTGTTTTTCATATCTGCCTGGCTATGAATGGATCTAACAACAGTTCATAAGTAACAACTTAGCTATCTTATTCCAAATGTTTGGATTAACTAACTGACGTCATCTTTTCAAATAAGTACATATAATTTTTTTTTGCAACCATAGGAACTATACTTACATATTGAAATGACTGAAAAAGGTTACATCATTCATATCTTGTCCACATCATAGGCAATTATTTCGCTCAATGATTGGGAAAATCAATCATATTGATAGTTTAGTACATCTCATTTAGAATTGAGATAATATTGAAAGTGTGATATGTAAGGGGATACGTAAAAATGCTACGTTATGATATTGATGACATTAACAATCTTCAGAAGATGTAAAGAAGTGAAATGTTTACGTTTACGATGATTTCGTGACAGTGAGTNTGGTTAATTTGGTCCGTCGCCACTGTATGGTGATATGTATGGTATCGTATCATAAGCATCATACCGTGATACATATTGTATCCTGATGTATATGTATGGTTGCAGCCTTAACTTTTGGACTGTACCACTGACATCACATACACTGTAGGTGATCATGAGGTTGCCAAGGGGTTTAAATCCTTATCACCTGATCAGCGCCGTCCATTACCCGCGCAGGGTTTCAGGATCAAATCACTGGCTGTCACCTGTGTACTGTATTTGTTCTAACAAGACACTCTGTAAATGAACAATTATACACCTACATTATTGTATTTACATAGACTGAATAATCTCTACAGTAATAACCTGAATGTTTTGTTTGAAGGTATGGTTGCAGGAAATCAATCGACTGGTCATAAAAATCGACCTGCCAAACTACTTCTGTCTCCCGAGGATCTGCAAGATACCGAAGACTTGGGTATGATAAAAAAAAGTTTTTAAATTAAAAAAAAAGTCTACTGAAAACATGAAATAATAAGCATACATACATATACATTTCAACATTTCTCTTCAAGTTTGAAGTAATATTTAATATGTTTCTGATACATGTGTACATTTAGATTGATCTAGATAAATAAATCAGAATTGCAAATGTTGTGGATAATTGTTATAAATAGCATTATTGAGGAAATTCCACCACTGAATTATTTTTATAAACAATGTAGATGTTTGAAATAAAAACAAACAATTGCATTGGCCCACCTGAATGGAGTAGCCTGCTACGGTAACATACATCGTATATACATCCCAATGGAGTGAAGCCCCCCACCCCCTAGTTGGTTGGTCTATGGGAGCCTGCAGTTGAGCATGAAATCAAACAGGACTTGTGTTGCCTCTCCTGGTTAAACGTCACTGTACATGTGATATTGTGTAATGTGTCTCTGAGTTACAAATCGTGATGCACCGCATGACTAGTTCTGCTAAAGTCAGAAAATATTTACATGGTACATGTACAGTAGTATAATAAGAAAAACAATCGCTTCCCTATATGGTAAGATTTATAAATGTACAGCCCTCCTCAATCCTCCTTACTAGAATTTTAGCAGCTTAATTAAGATAATTTTTTGTTTTGTTTTACCGCCCAAAGTGGGGAACATTTGTAGATTGTCAAGGCAGCTTTATTCAAGAAATTAAACATATTCTTGCCAGGTAGAATTGTGCAATAATGGTAATGTTTTATTCAAGCTATATGCATGGCTAGAAATTAATTTCAAACACCACTAGTCATTCATACTAGTAGTTTCCAATTTTACTAGTTTATGTACAAATTCCACTAACCCAGTATTATTCAACATGCTATTCGTTATATTAAACCAGTAATCCAGTTGGAGATTTTGCTAGTCTCAGGCTAGTGTGCTATACCGTTTTTGTCTAGCCTGGTATATGTAAACACAATTGCTGTCATTCCTCTCTCATCTCTATGATATATAACTGGACATATGCATAGTACCTTGTAGTTGATAGGCAGGTATAATACCCTCTGGTGTGGCCTCCAGGACACAGATTTTTGCAAAAGAATAAAGTTTAATAATATTTGATTTCTGTCTCATTCATTAAGAAATTTGACGAACATTGATGATTCCTTTGTCTTTCTACAGGAGATTGTGGCACCTCCTTACATTCAAGGATGCCAAATTCCTCATGGTTATCCAAGACATTGTCGGAAATCTTGAACGACAAGGATGCCCTAGGCTTATTAATTAAATACATGGATGCAATAAAATCGGCCCAACATATACGATTCTGGCTGGATGCTGAGAGTTTCCAGGCATCAACATGGAGTAGGCTACGGACTCATTCGTTAAATTCTGCAAAGAAGAGTTTGTCAGCAGGCAAAGTTGTGGACGAGATTAAGGTAGTGTCACCAATTGTAGCAGGGGAGATAACTTCTGATGAACAGGTCTGTAGTGATAT